CCCCAAAACCCCAAAACCCCAAAACCCCACAAATTTAGAAAATCTGCAAAAATAAAACAGAAGGAAATGGTAAATTATATTTAAATTAACTGAATTAGAAACATTTAAATTTAAAACTAATAAAATGCCGAGAAGACTTCCAGTCAGGCCTGCAAAACTTATAGGAAACATCTTTGTTCTCTTTGTACTCTTAGTGATCGGGTTTATTTATTATACATATGTTTTTGTCGTTTGGGGTCCTAGGACTATAGGTATGTATTTCGCTTAGATAATTCTTTTAGATAGCTTTTATCCGATGATTTTACTAGCATTTTTTCATCTATTCTTCATATTGTTAATATGGTCGTTTTTCTAAGCAATGACTACTGACCCTGGCTAAGTTCCAGTATTTTGGGTAATCAATTTCAATTCATTCATATTAATTACTACAGGGTTTTCATTTAGGAGATCCTGAGAATAAAAGAAGAAGATATTGTTTAATGTGCAATGTCTTTAAACCTGAGAGGTGCCATCATTGTTCAGCTTGCAACAGGTGTGTACTTAATATGGATCATCATTGCCCTTGGATAAATAATTGTGTGGGATTTTGGAACAGAAAATATTTCATGTTACTCTTGATTTACGTCTTACTTACAACATATTTTGTCTTTTGCAGCATGATATATGACTTTATATTATCAATTAAATGGGAATTTGATGCCTATTACTTGACGAAATCGACTCATGATTAATAATTATTGATAAGAAGCACACTTATTTAGCTATCTTTCTCAATAAATTGCATGATCGGTACTCTAATGACTTTCTTTTTAAAGTTTCACATTTACCTTGTCAATCATAACAAAACTACAATCGAAAACCTTGATAAAAAAGGTGCTGAGTATAAAAGTTTATATGATGTTGGAAAAGACATAAATTGGCAATAAGTTTTTGGCACAAATAGATTACTTTGGCCATTCCCTGTTTTTATGGGAAGTGGTAAACCGTTAGGTGATGGAATCTATTGGGAAACCAATCAAAAAGATGATAAAAATTCACAAGCTAGTCCAAGCACTAATAGAAGAACATCTATGTCTCCTTAGAAGTAAGCATAAAATAATCAAACTCCAGGAGTTAAACATGGATAAGGGAATTCTCAAAATATGAGTAATAATCAAAATTAATTTAGCGCTTAAAACAGATTAGCTTCTAATGATGCAACACCAAACTAGTACAAAGCTTAAAATGGTGCATTCTCACCTTAAGATTCAATCAATAACAGATATTAAAACTAGCCATAAAACTACTAGAGATATCAGTAGTAATAACAATATCAGCAGCAATAATAATAGTTCCAATAATAATAATAGCAGCAAATGTATTAATAAAATCCAGATAATAGAATAATAATGCATTAAGAAGATAATAGAGAGGTAATGAGAAGAAATCTTCAAGCTATATCTTAAAACTACTAAAAGGCTTAGCAACTTAGCTCTAACTTAGTTTAAAATCAAGTTAGATAGAGCTAAGCTTCTGCAAATCGAAATACTGGATCAGCTAATAAAACTGCTGGAAGAACAGGAGTTGGATAACTATCAGGAAAAGGTGGAGGAAGTGGAACAGTAAAGGGTTTAACAAGAAAAAGTAAACCATGATCAAATTGAATATTCATAAATTGATCGAACTTCATCAATGATACGATGCCATTCTATAGTTTTTGTATTTTTCACCTTATTATACAATTTTCACTATCTGAAAAATCTAGATTTACGGGGTTTTGGGGTTTTGGGGTTTTGGGGTTTTGGGG